TAGTGTTGCTGATAGTGTGATTGAGCTATTGGATCATTTCTTTAAGAACTCATTTGACAGCATACCACAAAATAATCAGCATATATCTCATCAAAATGTGAAGAATCTTCAAAAACCATTGTTGCTATATTATGATGATCCTGATGAGTTAACTTATATGTTAGCTGGTAATCAATTTAACAGAGGACGGGAGATTGAGTTTGGAGCTCACCAAGCAGTCATTATTCCATCAAAAGATACATTGGTTCCAGAATCACTAAAGAAAGCACTTGTCTTTACAGTCCTTGAAGCAAAAGGCCTTGAATTCAATGATGTTTTGCTTTACAATTTCTTCTCAGAGTCAAAAGTATGTTTATACTTGGCATTTAATTATACATTTTTGTTTTAGCTAACTATTTTTGCTTGACAGGCATTGGATAATGATAATAGTAATTGTCTCCTATCCAATAGAAATAGCTTGGAAGGAATTTTGATATCTTTTCTAATACATAATACATATACTAACTTATGTTGCATGAAAAGTTTGAGCTGATTGTGATCAAAATTTGATTATTTATTACACAGTATGCTGTGTATTAACTTTGAACTGATTTTGTTCAAATTTGTTTTATGATTTTTTGAAATGGCTCGAAATTTTAACCAGTAGATAATTTTTTATGATTTTATTTGTTATAGTGAGATGATTGTTTGTTATTTTGCAATTTTTATAGTTTGTAAAAGTTGCTTATTTTTTGCATAGGTTAACGAGAAAAGTTGGGAACTTGTAAGTGCTTACACTTGCATTCATGTTGAAAGATCTAGTGAAAAAATATCCAAAAAGCATGACAGTACTCTTAAAAAATATGATGAATCAGAACACAAGAGTCTTAATGCTGAATTGAAATGTCTGTACACTGCCCTCACACGTGCAAAAAGAAATTTATGGATTTGTGACTTCTCTAGCCATGGAAAAACCCAGCACCCAATGTATGAATATTTTCTGAAAAAAGGTCTAATGAGAACATTCACATTAGAAGATTCTGGAGCTAGTTTTACAGCAGAAGGAAGCACACCAGAGGAATGGAAGAAAGCTGGAGATTATTTGATGTCGAAACAATTGTGGAAGCAGGCAATGGTTTCTTATAAACGAGCTCAAGCAAGAGATCGCATATACCAAGTACTTGCTTTTATGGAAGTTGAGAAACAGGATTTTTTCAAGGCAGCAATGTACTTCTTAATGGCTGATAAAGTTGAGCATGAAAGAAAAGTGGTTTTAAAGGCTGCAAAATGTTTAAGGGTGACAAAATTCAAGTGCTCAAAGGATGAAAAGAGACAGTATTACAGCAATATTGCAAAACTATTTGAAAGGCTTGGCAAAGTAAGTTCTATTATAGCATGTAAGCCACATGTTTATTTGTTTTTTATGTAGGTAAATCAAGCTGGAGAATTTTATATTTTAGCTGAAGACTTTGACAGTTTTATATTAATGAGTGAACTAAAAAAGAAGTATAACAGAGTTGTAAAGCAACTTCTGGGTCATAACCAGAAAATTTTAGCTCTGAGAAAAGCAGCAGAGTACAAAGACAAAGTTACTATTAAAGGCTTTCAGATTAATAAGTTGGCTTATGATTGTGTCAGATTTTACATGTCAAAAGGAGACAGTGAGGCTGTAAGAGAAGCTATCAAGCACCTTGAAAGCAGAATTTTAAAAGCCAAATATCTAGAAATAAATTGTTTTTATGATGATGTAATCGATCTACTAATTGAGACAGGTGATTATGAAGAAGCCTTTAAACTTGCTTGGAGACATGGGCTCTACATCAAGGCAGCAGATATAACAAGGCGTGAGAGTGGATCTCAAGAAAAAGAGGCTCAGTTTTTGCTTTGTGAAATATATTCCAATTTGCATAGTGCATCTAACCTTGTTGCTGCACAAAGTATTCTTGAATCCTTGAAAAATCTGACAGATAGATGTTCTAGACAATTGATTGCTCAGGCATTACTAGTAGAGGCCAAAATTACCTGCAATACTGAGACATGCAAAAAGGCACTGGAAATTTTTGAAGAGCTTCATAATGAAGGAGGTGTCTTTGAGTCAGTTAATGTACTTCTTACAGTATGTGATAAGCCTAATATTCCTCCAGAAGATATACTGGATTATTGCTTGAGAGCAATACGGCTATCAAAAGTATTTGGAAAAACTTCGAAAGAACTCTCTCGGGCTGAATCTGGATGGATATCATCATATTTAATGATAAACCAAATTCAAAAGCTTCCAAATGGTCAGATATTTGTGCCACCCTCTCAAGGGTTTTGGCTTCCTATTCAACATTCCGCAAGTGATCTTACACTCTTGGAAAAAGAAGTGCATGCAAGAATTCAAGAGCACTTGCAAAGTTGCTGTGTAATTTGGTTAAGAAATAGCCATGCCATAAAACATACATTATCAAAATATACTCTTCATAAACAAGTTCAACAGAAAGGTTTAATACCAACTAGTGCAGTTTCAATTTTTATGCGATATCTTAATAGGCTTAGCATGATTGTGGAATTAGATGTGGCTATAAACTGTTATCCAGAGTCTCAGAATATTTTATCTATAATGTTTTCACCTTTAAGTGTTCTTCACAATCATGCCTGGAGACGATTCCAATTTCAACGTTTACAAACCTGTGTATCTATCACAGACTGCTTCAAAGCTGATTTTGATAAAATTTTGAAGGAGCAAGAAAGCTGTGGTTTTTCTTCGTTTGACCAATGCATGCAATTGTGGAGATTAAGCTTGATTGTGAACAGCAACACAAAATTTTTACATGAGAATCTAAAAAAATTCGTTTCTCCATCGCAACATGCCTTTCTTTTATGGGTTAATGCCACTTATTTGCTGTCAGCTAAACATAAAGTTTTGAAATTTATAGGCATGGTTAACACAATGCTAAGTGAAATTGCTTTTTCACATGATATTTTTCGCTCAATATCAGATGAAAATTTACTCTATATTGTGATTATACAAAGCCTTTCTTCTTTTTATCTTATTTCTTTGGCATGGAGAAAAAACATTTTTGTTCCACGTATTTTTGAATCTATGATGAAAAACTTCAATTTCCTTGTACAACAAAGCAAGTATCAATATTCTTTAATGAAAGCCTGTGTTGATGAAAGCTTGGAGAATTTTAGATACTCTTCTGATGTTGGCCGTTTTGCAATTTCACAGCTGCAAAAACTCCTTAATCTCCTACTTCAAATTATCTTGCCCCGTGTCATCAGCAACCATGATCATACAATAACAAGATATTATGTTATCTTGATTCTGACAATCTCTGTTAATTTAATCATTGCTCGACCTACACTGGAAAATGAATCTGTTCATAAAAATTTGATCCTTCTAGTAACAAATTTGGATTTAACTTTAAACAGAACAACAAAGCCACCTTTTGCTGAGAAAGTTTTCTCTAATCTGATTGAAGCTACTAATCTTCCACAGATTTTTGAAATAATTACTTATCTCCTTCGAGATGTAAAAAATGTAGAAATTCAACTAATTTTTCCTAGCATCCAGGGTAATTTTTTGAATTTTGATACTGTGCGACATCCAAGTTTTTATCCAAGCATTCGATTGAGACAAAATTTAATATCTAATCATCAATTGATTAAACAAGATCAAGTATTACAAGAGCCAGAACAAGAAGCTGAACAAGAAGCTGAACAAGATATGGAGTTCATTGTGCTACAAGAGTCTGTCACAATTCAAGTCCAGGAGCAGGAAGGCACCTTTACCAGCAAACTTAAAGAAAATATGATTGAGAATGGCATATGCAAAATATGTAACATTAATATTCAAAATACATCAAGGTCAGGAATGGTTGGTAGCAAGGAACTAGATAGACAAGATAGTACAGAAAATGAATATGAAGCACATATTGAGAGTGATGACCACAAAAGAAAGAAAGAAGAACACAACAGATTCAGCACAGCAATGGAAAAATTTGAATATCAAAAAAGTATTATTTTAAAAGAGGTCCAGAAATTGCAGAAATCACCAAAATTGTCACCTGAAGATGATATTAAATTGACACAAATTAATCACCAAATATCTGGTGTGCATGCTGAAATTGAATCCATAGCTCATATGACTACGACTACTTGGACCATGTTGATTGAGATTATTAGCAGTAAGATTGAAGAACTACAGGATATACATGACGAGCTTAATAAAATTCTGGGTATTGATCAAAAAGATGAGGCAGATAATGATGAAATAGCAGATTATGCTATCTCTTCACCTATTGATGATCCAGACATTATGCAGGAGCTTTTTCGTGGTAAACAAAAAGAAAAAAAGAAAAGGAAATAACTGAACTAGTTTAGCTGTATTTTTATAATTGTATTTTTATTATTATTTTTGCTTTTAAGTTAGAGATTACTTAGATCTAGCTCTATATGCACCACAAAAGAATAAGCATGTCACTTCAGTGTTTATATATTGTTGCAATAGTCTATTAAACAATAAAACGGTTCTGGGTAGTATCAAATTCATTATTCAAGTCTTATTTAAAGGCTAGATCTAGGCAAATGTTAAACATTGGATTTTATGAGTAAATTAAGTCTCACACTGAATCTGTAAACAAACAGTAGATCTATCAATTATCTCTGCTTTAGCTTATATCTATAAATCCATATGCATGATCTTTGATGCTTTGCACCCTAGGCTATAGTATAGGGTGTAACTGTAAAGCAACAAAGATCTAGATCTAGACTAACATCCAATATGATAAGAGGTTGGCAATGATCAATTTCTTCAGCTGCAACATTCTCTCCTTTACTCCAAACTAAGAGCATTTGAGACTTGGAGTAGATATAATGTCTCCCAACTTAGGTTCACCAGTTTCATACTTCTTTGCGTAAGACACCTCTCAACATTTTTACAATGATTTACCTCAATAACGCCAATAGTATCATCTATTAGGCTTAATGGTGAGCTCACTGGTGAGCATGTTGAACATGTGAGCATGTTAGATCTACACGTGGGTGGGGCTTGATGATTTTTTATCATAAATATGATCATCAATCATCCAAGAAGTGGTACTGGTAGAGTTAGACAAAACTTGAAGACAGCAGGAAAACCAAGTGAGTATTAAATTAAGATGAACATGCAAATTGGTTACTCAAATATTTTGTGGAGCCCTACAGTACCAGTACATGGGCTGAATGATTTGCTGAAGTTTCCTATGCAAATAATGGGAGGTTCTGAAAACTCATTTCATTCATTCACACTATTAGTCTATTTACACCTCGATTTACACCTTTACTTTATGAGCTCCACCCAATTGATAATTAAGTTGAAATTACTCAAAACATCTTGTAGTACCTAAAAGAGAATTCTCCATTGTTATAATTTTTTATAGATTAGGGATGGAAGGCAAGCCCTGAAGTAAAATTTTACTCTTGCTTTTAGTATTGAGTGAAGATACCTGTCCAACAATAAAAATCCAGCTCTTTTGAGTGGATATAACATTATTATTTGATTAAATATAACATTCACGATTTTGAGTGTGTTTATGACCTCAATTTTAGTCATGAATAATCATCATAGCTAGCAAGAGACAGTCTTTTCTGCTTTCCTTTGTCAACAAGCCTTCCAGGAGGACCAGGACTAGCACTTCACAGGTTGAATAGAACTTTACAGATAAGATAGGGGGCCTTTTAGGCATATTTTAGTGGTATATCATATTTTATGCGTGCGTTAAGTATACACCCAAATTATGTGCAAAAAGGTGGGTGTAATCAAAATCACTGCATGCTTCATGCGCCATTTTTTTGCCCAACTGCTCTTCCAATCCTGCTGCCGCCCTATGTATAGATGTACATATATTTTGTGTTTGTATTGTATGCATGTACATGTGGTATTTATTGGATGCTTTATAAATGTACAGTATGTAGTCATAAATATGTACATATAC